GAGAGAGAGAGAGAGAGAGAGAGAGAGAGAGAGAGAGAGAGAGAGAGAGAGAGAGAGAGAGAGAGAGAGAGAGAGATGGAAAAAACAAACACATCCAGAAAATGCAAAAAAAACTCCTCGGGGGAGTATGCCCTAAGCCGCTGCACTCACGAAGCTACCCCCAGACACAGTGGGATCTCGTTAATACATTCATGCGCGTCACCAATTAGATGACGAGGCATTTTGCTAGCTTAAGAGAGCCATAGCTACTCCTGCCGTTTACCCGCGATTGGTTGACTCTCTTCACTTCGACATTCAGAACACTGGGCAGAAATCACATTCGTTAGCATCCATCGGGTCCATGGCAATGCTTCGTCAGATTCCGTTTGTTCTCTCTCTCTCTCTCTCTCTCTCTCTCTCTCTCTCTCTCTCTCTCCCTCCCCCCCCCGGTCGTTGCAATAGTACAGATTCACAAACACGAATAGCACTTCCCGTTGGGCGAGTTCGAACGACGACGTGCCGTGGTGGAAAAGTTTTGGGGCCGTGCGGAACTGTTTTTGGTTTCGACCTGCACATAGGACGAATGGCCATACTTCCTCCTGTGACGGCTCCCCGCCGTTCGAACTCGCGGACGGGAAAAAAAAAACCTGCTATCTGTGCAAGTTCCCCTTGGACCTGCGCCTTGCCCACCGCCGACTTCCCAACACAGGGACCCCGGGTTTGCTGCGGCGTCACACGAGACCCGGTATTCCCTTTTTTATAGAGTATAGAAAAAAAAAGAATAAATAAAAACTTAAATAAGAAAGAAAGAAAGAAAGAAAGAAAGAAAGAAAGAAAGAAAGAAAACCTTAATCCTCAAATCTTTTTGAAAATAAGATAATAATAATAATATCATATTATCAAATAAAAAACCAATCACCAAAATCGCACAGGACTAACTTGACCATTTTGTATACATTTATAAGAGTACTACGAAATAACACTCATGGAAAACAAGGATCAGCAGAATCATTTTAAAATTCGCGGGTTTTAGACAATCATTTCAAAATTCACATGCGCCAATAGACTCAATCATTATTGGGAACATACCCCACAAAGGACCCTAAGGGAGCAGAGCTATCGTCCTGCCCATTTGATATTGCAAAACTCAAAGTTAAGACAATGTCATTCGTTGCAACTCAAATAGAAGAATAATGAGACAACTTAGACAATAGAAAAAAGGAAAGAAGAAGGAGAAGTGGAAAAGCACAAGTGACCCGAGTGCCAATGCCGACACTCTCTGGTCACACCAACACTGTATCCAATGTTGCTCCCACTGTCTGGAGCCCAGCGCCTGGCCTATACTACATCTTAACTAGCCTATCTACGTTCATGCGACTCGATCACGTCGAAGTTGAAGACAAACGTACGTGACGTCAACACCAATGCCGATCCCCAGCATACACCAGGTACGTTCTCTCTCCTCCCCTCATCACCCCTTGGATCCCCTCTGCATGCGCCTCCTACCCAAAGACCACTATCACAATCACCAGCACCTGCACGCTCCGCCATCACCATGACCATCACCATCACCGCAGTGCCCTCTCGCCTCTTAGCGCACGTGTGCGCCCCAGCCTGCCTGCATAGCGCCGTGTCGCACAGCAAAGCAGCAGCATGGCCGCAATGCCTGCTCAGGTCAGAATGCCTGCCCAGGGAGCGCACAGTTTCCTTTATGGAAAATTGTGTCCGCTGCTGGCTGGTCTGGCCAGGCGTGTGGGGGCCCAGTAGCTTGCCTCTGGCCCCAACTGTCAGCTTCCAGGCCCAGTTTCAGATACCGGCCTGGGCCTCGTGCAGTTAGGCACGTCCAGGCAGCCACACAGCCTCCAAGTGTTTGCAGCATTCTCATTGGCTCGCGGCACATCTGTGACGACAATGCTGCTTCCTCGTTGACCTGCAACCAGTCCGGGATGTGTCGGCCTCACGCAGCGTGTGCCCAGAGCGCAACCACCTGAGCCCTGGGCTCAACTGTACAGCACAACCCGTTGCTACTGGAAAGAGCCTGGAGGCTCACGTTGCTCTGTAACCAACTTACGTGCTGCAACTGTCTGAGTACCCACATATGAAAAAATGTCAAAAACAGGCCTCACGTGGATATTCAGGCCCGCCTTCACTTAGGACGGGCACTTGTATGTCCGATAAAGGCTCCGCGAGGCTCATTCCTCGCACTCTTTTCAGTGTTCAGGATTTTCAGGATTTTCAGGGCTGGCCAAAACAGTCATCTCCAAGACTCCAACAAACACCAGACTCAGCACCCGCAGACCTTGACCGAAAATAAAAGTGAGGGTCCCTGTTAACCACTTATGAAAGCCTGAGCTTAATAATATCGATTTCCCACCGTCCCACCAAGTGAGCCAGTAGGCAGTAGATGGGTCTAGAGATTGGTAACTATCAGGGAGAGTCCTCACCAAAAGAAAGAGCACCGCTCTGCAAGGAGTCTTTGTTGGCCTTACATGCCGGCATTATGTTACCCAGCCAGTATGGGTGCGCTGGCACTAGCGAGAGACCGCCACACAAAGGGGTGGGAAAGTTCCTGAATACAGGGTGTGATTGCAATCCATGGTGGAACCTAAGGTAGGTATGGCGCTGCTGCTTGTCATACTGCGAAATTTGAGACCCACCCATGATAGAGCGCGTGCAAGGCAAAGACACCGAGTTTGGGTCAGGCCCCGCTGGTTCTATGTTCATGCTAAGGAAGCATAAACATAGCACCACTGGGCCCCGGCCCTTAGTGTTGTAAGAAGACAGCGTGCAACATACGGACATAGCAGATGTGGGACGACTCCCTTCAGACCTGCAAATTTTCAATCTGCAAGAGTGGTGCTGCATGGTTGGAGAACGGATTGACCTTCAGAATGTGCATGTACCATGCAGGAGAGAAAAACACTCCCAAGAGAGGAGGAGGGGAAATTGTGTGATGTGGTGCACATCACTGCTAGAGAAGGACAGCAAGCTTCCGAGGGTGGAGCATGAGGGTGACGACGGTTTCTGCCAATATGCAAGTAGATGCTACGTCTGAGAATCAGACGTTTATCTCGTCCATTTTCTTTTGCTCTAATTGCTGGACGAACTGGTGACGAAGAGCATTCAACGAGGAGGAGAATTTGGTGAGAGCAGTGAAAGCGATTTTCTTGTCTGAATGGAAACTCCGAACCGTCTGGTGGCCTGGCCTTCGTCTGGCAGGGGTCCCGGGCGGCCCGGCCAGTTGGGTGCCCCGGTTTGGGGCCAGACAAGCCCAGCACAATTTCGCACGGGGGGGGTGGGAGGCCTTTTTCAGCTAGTGGTCCCAACCTCCAGCAACACAAGTTGTGTTTTTGTTTTTGATCTACGACCAGTTTTAGGGGGCAGGGAAGGTATTCTTCGGCGACTGATCCCAGTCGCCGATCTGCAAAGATCAGTGGCTGAGATCAGCCGCCAAGAAATGGGTTCCCCCTCTGGCGGGCTATGACGCCGCGTTCGGATTCGAACACAGTATTCCCCGTTGTGAAGCCCATTCACAACCGCACAGACTTCTTCTTCTTCTTCTTCTTCTTCTTCTTCTTCTTCTTCTTCTTCTTCTTTGTCTCCTTCTAATTCTTCGTCTCCTTCAAATTCTTTTCTTCTTCTTCTTCTTCTTCTTCTTCTTCTTCTTCTTCTGATATTTTTACTTTTCTTTTTTCCGTAGCTGTTGGTCCTTGCATCCTCTACTTCCACGACATTATGGCGGGCAGTGGCAGCGGCATCGGCGGGGGAAGGGGCAGGTCTGGAAGGACGAGAGCAGACAAAGGATGTGGCGTCTTCTTCTTCTTCCTCCTCCCCCTCCTCTAACCCCTCCCCTCA